TCTGTGTGTGTGTGTGTGTGTGTGTGTGTGTGTGTGGCTCGCTGGCTGGCTGGACCTTTCTTCACCCTTCCCTACCCCGCCGGTGCGGTCGCACACGGAGGAACGGACGCCGGTGCAGCATGACTGCATCCTCGTGCATGACGCGTGGACGTGAGCATGCATGAGTCTGTCCGTGTAACAAGATCAACTCGTGCTCAGACGAACCAAACGAGCTCCTCCTGTTTGCAGATCTGTTGACGTGTTGACCTCATCCGCCAGCCAAGCACAGCCGATGACTGGTTAACGAACCCACGCATCGTGAATCGTGAATACCTACCTGCATGTGAGGCTAGCGTGTGATGTGACTTGGGTCACAACGAAGAGCGCACAGCCAATGTGATATCTATGGAACGCAAGATGAGATAAGCAACGGATCGGATCAACCAGCCGATGGATCGAGAATACCTGTAGCCCGAGCTTTAGGGTCGTCCCCATAGTAAACCTCCCGCCCTTCTGCCGTCGACGAAGATCGGAGAGGCTGTCTCCAAGCAGCTCCATGCACAGATAACTGTGCCCCTCGTACACGCCGGAGTGCACATGCCGGCATACATACTGGCAATCTGCAACCATCCACGATCGCCAGCGGTCCACGTCACAACGCACAACCAACTCATTATCATCATCATCATCATCATCATCATCATCATCATCATTACCATCCTCGTCCTCATCATCACCATCATCACCATATTCACCATCATCAGCATTATCATCAGCATCAGCATCTTCAACATCAGCATCACTTTATCATCATCTTCAGCGGTGCAGTTATCGTACGCGCCTCTGTAGTAGGGGACATGTTCGTCATTACCACCAAGACTTCCATCCACCTCACCACGCCCCTACCTTCAGTGTAATCCTCACCATCATCATTTCCGTAGGGAGTCTCGACTGTCCAGAAATCCCCTCTTGCGCGGTAAGAGACACGTCAGCCAACTGGATAACCGAAAACGGAGGCCTTGCGCGTTAACAGCCACGTCAGCCAAGTGGCAAACAACGATTGGCAGACTGCGCCCTTGCCGTTCGAGTAGGTCGCGCATGCAAGCCTCGTTCACGCACGATAATGATCAGATGCTGGCTGGTGAAGACAGCGGAGTGACCCGTTTTCGTTCGAATAGAACGCGCAGGCCTCCGTTTTCGTTCAAACGAAACGCGCAGGCCTCACTCACGCCCGTGGCTGGCATGTTCAGCGGTCATATAACACATGCACATTCTGTTCGATAGCTAGAGCTAGAGCTACAGCTAGAGCTACAACTACAGCTAGAGCTACAACTACAGCTAGAGCTAGAGCTAGAGCTACAGCTACAGCTACAGCTAGAGCTACAGCTAGAGCGACAGTTAGAGCTAGAGCTACAGCTAGCGCTAGAGCTAGAGCTAGAGCGACAGTTAGAGCTAGAGCTAGAGCTAGAGCTAGAGTTAGAGCTAGAGCTAGAGCTAGAGCTAGAGCTAGAGCTAATGGCCGGTGCCGATTTCATCCGTCGTTGCTAATGGCCTACCAGTACCATGAAGAACAGTCAATTCGACCTCGACCCACCATTCCAAACCCGGACAATCAAGCACACCCGTCGCCACGAGCCATCAGCCTCCGCCTACCCGCCTATCACTCCCTGACAAAGAAGATCGCCTCCGTCAATGTCAACATACCGTGACACGCAGCTTAACTGCCATGGCCATCATCAGCTTCATCTCAATCGGTCAGCTTTATCTCAATCACCACGCCGCGGGCTCGAGGGCCAGCATTATGGCAATCATCACTTATACTCTTTCGCATTCGCGGGTCCACTATATCCACCAACGCCACAATTCGCCGACCAATCGTTTCAGGTTGCATAATCCTCCATCAATCACCAACTCAATCACCAACTCAATCACCAACTCAATCACCAACTCGGCGATCGATCACCACCTCCAATCTAACGGCTCACGACGAGTGTCCTTGCTTAAGTATCAGTAATACCACCATGATACAGTAATTAGTTTTCCTGAGCTAGAGGCAGGCACATCTGGCTCTCCCTCAAAGAGTTATTACTTGGCTGGTGAAGTGTTTTTATTTGGCCCTGAAAGAGTTATGATGATTAGTTTGACGGAGGCACACACATCTGTCGAACTCCCTGAACACCGAGTAATCCGTTCTCACGGAACGAGAGAGGGAACGGGAAGGGATTACAGGCGTTCTTTGCTTGAACATCTTCTCCCCGACAACGCTCTCTCAATCCACCCCCCCCCCCCCCCCCCCCCCCATCCATACCAAAAAAAAAAAAAAACTTCACCAGCCAAATCCTTCCCTATCTAAGCCCCGTCATCGATCAGCACCCCCACACTTGATAATAATACCTTAATCATCAATCAATCAATCGCGTCCTTCCTAGATCTAATCTCATCCATCAATCTCCATCACAACCCGCATATACATCAGGCGAGAAAAGTCAGAATCTCCGGAACCACCCAATTAGTCCCATCCAATCCGATTTCGAATCCTCGTCGTAAATGCGCCCTCAACCTTTCCGCTCCATCCAAAGCCAGTGCACAT